CGAACTTGAAAAAACTAATATCAGTGGTAAACATCTGTTTAAGTACCGGAAGAGGTTATCTCTGCTTTCTCAATGTCCATATTGCTAGATATGCTGAGTTTTAAGGCGAAATCCTGGGGAATTTCGTCTAGAAATGCAAATACCCTAACCGTGCGCGATCCCGCGGTGGCTAATCATTTTTTGGCAGCCAGTCGATTTATGGCACAACACCGGCAAGGACCCGTACTCATAAACATCCTGCCCACGGATTTGGACACACGAGCACCGTGTCCATTCTTTGTGAGTGATTGCTTTTGTCTGACTGAATTAGCAGCCAATGACACACTGGCTCCGCCCCGTTAGTCTTGACTGACGGACTGCGACATTCTGCTGTAAGGTCTCATTATGAAATAAAGCAGCCATGGGAAAAAAACACTATTATGAAATAAAAGCTGTCTTTGTTAAAAAGACGTTATGTAATAAAAACTGAATGAATAAAAAAAAGGGCTCAATAATAATTTGGATTATAATGAAAAAATGACTTTTGAAAAAAAAATGTTATATTAATAAAGGCATTTTAAAAGAAGAATGAAAAATGTTTTATAATATTGAGCTTAGATTTTACATACTGTAACATTCTGTTATTTCATCATTTCATAGTCAGATTACATGATTATCTAGTATTTCTTCATGTAGATATTTATTTCATAATGTCTTATTTATTTATTGAATTTTGAATACTTTTGAGTCCCATAGTTCCAGGACTCTAGAAGGCGCTTTATCAAATACAGGCATGCAGACATTGTTACTGATTGGCTAAATGAACTGACATGAATTGGAATGTTTACTATGTGAAGTGCCTTGAGACGACTCTTGTCGTGATTTGGCGCTATATACATAAACTTGGATTGAATTAAAACTCTAAAACAGGGGTGTCAAACTCAAACTCACACGGGGCCGAAATGAAACTCTGGGACTGAGTCGAGGGCCAAACTTAATATTTTTGAAAAAGTGACGGCAAATTTGCACATTTTCTTTATCAACATATATGCAATTTTGAACCTTTTAATTTGGAAACAAACTTATTTCTGCATTAACACTGAATGTGGAATAACCAAATTACACACGAGCAAGTCAGTTTTAAATAAAAGGCATCAGTGGTATTCATTACTTGTGGTATAATCAGCATTTTTAAAATCTATTCAGGATTTATGTTTACTTGCTTATTCATTTTTCTTATTTTTTATTCTCCTTTTTTCTCCTGTAATAAGTGTCATCGCTGCTGTGACATCTAGCTTTCCCCACTGAGGAACAATAAAGGGATTTTGTATTCTATTCATCTATCTGCAGCCTTTCCACTTCCTGTTTACTGTAGGTTAAATCTTTTCTCACGGGCCAACAACAAAATAAAAATATAATTTTATCTTAAATGAAAATGCAACATCTCACCTGTTAACTTTCATGTTTTGGAGCAGAAAAAGAGCATAAAACCAACATATTTAAAGCTCAGTTTGCTCCACTGCTTTACTGTGATGCTCACCTGTTCCAGCCAGATACCTGCATCATGGGGTTGATCTGAGCTGAGGAGGAGACTCCTGTTGTTTTGTTCATCTTCATCATAATAATGACAACATTGGATGACAACAGGTGCTCACATAGGTTTGTGCTGCTGAACATGTCTGAGCAGCTTGACCACGTTGTTGTGTGTCGGGGAGGAAACACAACCACAGAGCCGTGCTGGTTTGAGCGTGTCGCTGCTCGCTGGAGTTATATCAGCTCTGTCTGGACGTTAGTTGGAAAACTTTCTCTTTCAGTCGTGAACACATTACTGAGCGGCTAGAATCTCCGTTTCTGGGCTTCAACGTCAGAAAACAGCTGAGTGAACTCGGCGCTGAGTGAGAGGAGTTTAGATGTCCGAGACAGCGGAGCTGCAGACACCGGCAACTACCCCTGACTGCCTCGGGCTGGAAAAAACACAAAGGAGGGGGTGCGTCGCCTCCTCGCTGACGCCGCAAAGCATCATGGGAGTTGAAGTCTTTGCGATAAATTCGTCCAGCGGGCCAGTTTTAATATATTTTTGATATTTATCTCGCGGGCCACATAAAAATGCTCCGCGGGCCGCATTTGGCCCGCGGGCCTTGACTCTGACATATGTGCTCTAAAACATATGTAACTCACACACTTCTTTGTCCAGCATGTTCAGTTTCCTTTTGAAAAAGATCTCTGACTTATCAATAACATTACAAACCATTAGTAGCAGAGTTTGCTTTTAGATTAGTTTAAAGGACACAGCTCTATTGTGCTGCTCTTAAGGGTTTTAATTTAATTACCTGTTTTAAAAGGTGCAATTATTTTCATCTCATTGTAATTTCTGTTTTCAGAAGGTAAAAACATGTAGCCTTGCTAACTGTGACTAAGATTTCCTCCATTATGTATGGTCATGAACACACGTAGCCAAGTTTTTGTAAAACTAAATATCCTCCCCCGCCCATGTGGGAAAAAACTTGGGTTCACACCACCTTGTCTTCGCCAACAAAAATCACACACACACACACACACACACACACACACACACACACACACACACACACACACACACACACACACACACACACACACACACACACACACACACACACACACACACACACACACACACACACACACACACATCCAATGTATCGTGAAGCTCATTCATAGGCATGCCAAGCCTGTAGGTGGCAGTAGTCTCCCAAACCTTAGGCAGATAACCCCTACATCACACAAGAAGCATCAGCGATGTGAAACGGCAGCAGAACGTCCATGCTTAAAACAGAATCCATTATAGTCAATGCAGGCATTTTCAGGTGCGTCCTAGAAGCAGAACGCGCTGTGCCGCTAAAGATAGGACTGGGTTTTAATTTTGCTGCGAGCCACTTCTGGGGCACGATAATTTCCACAGTAAACATAGTACTAGACAAGAAATCACACAGTTTCAGTGTAAAACCTTGATAAACTTTGAAGTCTCAAGGAATCTTGCAATCTCGCGAGGAGTTGGCGGAAGTCTTGAGGGACTTTGTGATCTTTTGAGTCCAGCGAGGAGCACAGCTGAGATTCTAACAGGTAGTGAAGTTCGCAAGTAAACCGTTCTGTGCTGATGAACATGTGATGCTGGTGTAACATTCCTTGGAACTGCAATAACTAAGGTGGAGGCCTGTGGTCTTCTACATAAAAAAGTAATTAAACTAGTAAAAAACAAGAAAGCAAACATAAATCCACGTCCCACATGTGACATCAGAACATTTCTTTTGCAGGCAGTGATGCTGTGAAACCCAAATTCCTGGGTATTTACGTACACAAGCAAATGCTGACAACAAAGAATTTACAAATCTCTCCTTTGACCAGATTTTTGGAAAGAATCATTTTTGGTGTTGTATATCTCCACTTTTGTGTGGATGACAGGAAAGGCCCGATAAAAATTTGTGTACAGGGCCTACGAAACACTCACAAACCAACAACTCTGATCGCCACTCTTTCACATATTTGATGTTTTCTCTCATGTGTTTAAAGAGCAAGTCACCCCCAAATCAACTTTTTTTTTGTGCTGATAAACTATATAAATGAGTGTCTAATTGTTCTTTAGACACGTGTAGTCAACAATTTGGCACTTCTGTGCATCTCAGTTAAAATTTAAATATTCTGCCTAAAACTGTCAGTGTTGCGCCGTCAACAGGTAAAAACTCTGCACTGTATTTGAATTTAAATCTGCCACCGCTATTGGCTAAGAGGTATGCTATGATGCTAACTGGTACATTATGATGTCACAATGCCGTTGTGAGCCTGTGTGTATGTATTTGTTAGCGGCTCCGCCCTCTCGGTCTGCCAGGCAACAGCATTTGTTGCATTTTTCAAACATGAAGAGGGAGTGAAGTAAGTTTCTTGTAGGGGGTGACTTGCTCTTTAAGCCCTAGGGCCCCCCAGGTGGGAAACCCTGTGACATTAGTTCCAATAGGCTTCAAAATAGGCCAAGGGCTTTAAGGGTTAAAATCTTTTGTTGCAGAACACAAATGAAGGTGAAACCAGTCAGTGTTACTGAAGAACCCTCCAGACATTAGTGAGATGAAAAAGTGTTGATCAATGTCACACAGGCAGGCATATAAACATGCATTAACATGAGTGTGTGTGTTAATAAACCCCCACAAGCTATTAGAAAGCACAGCTTTCCCACATTTGCAGTGAATAGGTTTTTATCTGGCAATTTTAGGTTGACTCTTTTCATGTATTTACTCCAAATCAGAGAATTTGAACAACACCATAGCATTTCAACACCTACCTTCCAACGAAACAGGTCTTTTTTTGAATGATTGCTGCTTCTGCCGAGTTTGAGTCTTTCATTATTGTGCGTGTAGGTACAAATATGTCCCTAAATTACTTCTGGAATCAGTTGTCTTTTTCCATACAGGTTCAAAGAAACTTACCAATTGAGATTTGACCATAAATGGTCCATTAGACCCAGGACTGCAACACACTCCAGAACCCTCCATTACATACAAACCATCATCATGTCAATTAATGGTCCATTTGGCAGATAAACAAAAGGGTAAGCAGACGGTAAATGAGTAAAAAAGGATCAGATTTTAAATCCATACACTTCAAAGTCCCAATATGTTCCTTTTTGCTTATTTACTATTTAAATCTCCTAGTGCAGGTAGAAAGAGCTTGTATAGATTTACCTGCATTCAGGAGACCATTAGAGCTGGAAGCAGCTTGTTTTCCTTCACTGGGGGAGGAAAAGGGTGAGGGAAGGAAGGGATGGGAGGGAGGAAAGACGTTTGGACCTCTGTGTCTGACTGCAGCATCAGGTGTTCTGTAGCCTGGCCTGATTCAAAGTACTTACTAGAACTTGGATTTTCTGCACATTTAAACTCAAAGTAATCATTTATTAAGACTAATGACAACGAGACACATATGGAACAAAATGGCAGAACATCTATTTATCCATAATTTATGTGGACAAAAGAATGAAACCGAAGAGTACCAACCTCTGCTTGTTTACGCCACATGTCCAGGTTCTTGCGCTGAGCTTTGGAGAAATGGTCCCATGCCTTTTGTTTGGAAGCAGCTTGGAATACAGACACAATCTGTTCAACTGTGGCGGGATGCAGGGAGGGAGCAGAGACCATCCAGAGACAGAGACAGAGAAAGACAGAGGGCGGTTGGGAGGGAGCAGAGGATTGAGAAAGTGGAGTCAACTAGGATAAGAACTGTGTGTGTCTGTGTGAGTGTTTTACATACCAGCTGATGCCACCGCACCACCTTATTAAAGCTGGATGAGACAGTTCCCAAGGTTCATAATGTCAACAAATTCTACAGACTTGTGTTTGATATTACAAATTACTTCCATGCAGAACAGAGTCTTGTTGGTTCTGATAAATCGTCGTCCGCAGTAACAACTGAGCACCACAGTTGCTGGCTGATCCATCACAGACCCACTATTGGTTCTTAAAACCAATAAATTAGGGCGACTCTGATGGCCAAATTATTTAAACTTTGAATAACGTTAAAACATTTTGGTGCCAAATAACCCCTAAACTGAACATTCAACATAAAACTCTAGGAGTACGTATTAGCATGAATCTTCCACTAGAGGTCCGACAAGCGCCCTCACTGACGGGTTTTAAGAGTCGGAAAGACTCACTTTTACACAGTGGCGTTCCCTCATCACATGAGCTAGCCATAGTTTTAGATCATTTAGCAAATTTGAATCCAGTTTTACTTCACTTATCTTATCTTGTTTATTATGATCATTTGTTGATCTTATCTTCTGCTTTTATCTGTTCTTACTTGTTTTCATGTCTATTTTTGTTGGCCATTGTATGTGTCAGTGATGTTTTTAATGCATGTACAGCACTTGGTTTACCTACTGGCAGTTGGAAGGTGCTATATGAATAAAGTTGATGATGATGATGATGGTGATGATAATATACACTCACTGGCCACTTTATTGGTACACCTTGCTTTCTTTTGCCTTAATCCTTCATGGCATAGATGCGGCAAGGTACTGGACACATTCCTCAGATATTTTGGTCTACATTGACATGATAGCATCATGCAGAAGATTTGTCGGCTGCACATCCACGATCCATCCATGATGAATCTCCCTTTCCACTACATCCCAAAGGTGCTCTATTGGATAGAGATCAGGTCACTAGAGGACATTTGAGTACAGTAAACTCATTGTCATGTTCAATAAACCAGTCTGAGATGATTCCAGTTTTATGACATGGTGCTTTATCCTGCTGGAAGTAGCCATTAGAAGATGGGTACATTGTGGTCATGAAGGGATGGACATGGTCAGCAACAATACTCAAGTAGACCATGGTGTTGCATTGACAATCAGTTAGTACTAAGGAGCCCAAAAGTGTGCAAAGAAAATGTCGCCCACACCATTACACCACCACCACCAGCCTGAACCATTGATAGGATGGATCCATGCTTTCAGGTTGTTGACACCAAATTCTGACCATACCATCTGAATGTTGGAGCAGAAATGGAGACTCATCAGACCAGGCTACATTTTTACAATCTTCTATTGTCCAATTTTGGTCAGCCTGTGTGAATTATAGCCTCAGTTTCCTGTCCTTAGCTGACAGGAGTGGCACCCGGTGTGGTCTTCTGCTGCTGTAGCCCATCTGCCTCAAGGTTCTACGTGTTGTGTGTTCAGAGATGCTCTTCTGCATACCTTGGTTGTAATAAGTGGTTATTTGAGTTACTGTTGCCTTTCTATCAGCTCAAACCAGTCTGACCATTCTCCTCTGACCTCTGACATCAACAAGGCATTTTTGCCCACAGACCTGCCACTCACTGGATGTTTTCCCTTTTTTGGACCATTCTCTGTAAACCCTAGAGATGGTTGTGCGTGACAATCCCTAATATTCAGACCGGCCCGTCACTTACATCACTTTTCTTCTCCATTCTGATGCTCGGTTTGAACTGCAGCAGATTGTCTTGGCCACGTCAACATGTATAAATGCACTGAGTTGCCACCATGTGATTGGCTGATTAGTAATTTGCTAGCAGTTAAGACAGGTGTACCCAATAAAGTGGCCAGTGAGTGTATATCTCAATAAGACCACAAGCTGGATTTCTTTGGCATGTAACGTCACTTTGATCCGTCTGGAACGTCATACTATCATACTGTTTCCAAGACCAGTCCTCCAATTTTAGGCTTAATGCAACTTGATTTATACGGTTATGTTTAAAATTCTTATTTATTAAATTAAAAATTTCTAGATTTGTGTTGTTTATTTTAACTTTGTTAAACTGAGTTGTGTTGGTTTGCTTTTATTTGTCACTTTGCTTCAAATTTTAGATTTCATACTAGTTTTTTGACATTTACAAGTAAAACTGGAAAAATTAGACCATCATGCAAAAATAATTAATTATTCCATTAATTCAGCTTAATATTTGAGAATTTCATTTAATTTATTTGTTTATGGCGTGCCTTCCTGCTGCCAATCAAGGCAGCCCAAAGCACTGAACACAGCAGTGTCAAAACAACAAACGTTAAAATAATAAGGGATACCTCATGAAAAGTAAAAAGTACTACACATGAATTTAAGTACCAAAGCAATAAAATCCCAGATAAAATCACAAGGTCAGTTGACATAATCAGAACAGAGGCCTAACGGGGTGCTGTGAGTCTGTAACGCATTTTCAATGCGAATAAACTTCTTCCATAAAGCCAGATATTTCAAGCCTTTCTTTGTTATAATTGTGATGATTATGGCTTACAGCTTATGAAAACCACACATTCAGAATCTCAGACAATTAGAATATCATGAAAAGTAATAAATGGACGTTTGCATCATATTCTTATTTTTAGAGTTTCGCTTGTATACAGAGCTTCTGTACATTTGAACCAAACAATAACACTCAGTGATTGTACCTGATCAGAACAGCCCTGTATCAGATTAGAGCGGTCAGGTTTACTGTAAACCATCAGCTTGACTGCTCAGTGCATTGTCCTACACGCTGGATGTATCAGATTTGCTCAGCAACTGTAGGCTGCCAAAAATAACCTCCTCTGAGTCTACCAGTGTTGACCATTGTGCAGCGCTACTGCAGAAATGTGCTCTTAAGAACCTTACCAAGGACACCTTCTTACTGCAGTAATACAGTGTTCCTGATTGCTTTTCCCTGTGCAGACCACCCCATCGTTTTTAAGAGGACAAAAGCCTTCCTGCTAAAACCTCTAGAGTGACTGTATCTACAAAGTCAGTTACCATGCAGAGACTTAGGCTTGGACTCAGCTGAGGGAGCTTCTTAAGAGTCCATGTGTCTGATTAGGACAAGGCAAGAAGCAAGAACCTCTTTTTCTGAGCTGCATTTTATCAACAGTCACCATCAGATTTCTGCCTTATTATGAAGAAGTGTATGACTGATCTGGGTGTTACCAAAGTCCAAATATACAAAGGAGAATCAATAAGACCACCAGTCAAGTGTGTGTGTGTGTGTGCGTGCGTGTGTGTGTTTGCAAGGTGCTGAGGGATAGAATATCCCAGGAATCAATAGCATCTTCCCAGTACTCAGTAAAAGAGATCGATGATGAAGGCAGATAAGAGACACAAGATACAGCGACATGTTCAGGGCTGTGATTTTGAATGCAACCATAAATTATGTATATAAAAATATTTGATTTTTGTTTTCAACAGAGCAGAAAGTAGCTCAAATGGAAACTCTCCACAGTGAAGCTTGTCGACCGTCACCGGGAGAGGGGCATCATTATTATGTTTGTGAAAAATCTTTGAAATTCCTTCTTTCCCTCCCAGCGCTTTGAGCACCAAGATTTAAATCCTTTGAATTTGCAACCTATAAAATGACTAATTCCATCACAGGAATGGATGGCGAGGGAATGAAACGCATAAACTGTATGTGCTATAGTAGGGAGCTTTACCCTGTCAGACCTGGAAAACCTCCCCACAGGAGACCGGTTCAGTTACAATGAATAAAATCATGAATCCACCACAAGAGGAAGGAAACACCATGAATAGAAATACACTTCTGTGGGGTGAAATAATTGAGAACGGCTAATACAAGGACGACTGTCTCCGGATTATACAAACAAATACACACACTGCGATGCTAACAGACAGTGAAGCATGCACAGCTCCAGCCCTTCTTTAAGGATGTTTACATTGTATTTAACATGCGTGTGGTGGGAGCGCCGCAGGCTGTGGTGTAAACTAGCAGCTGGTGAGCCAAGGCTGTCAATGGTAGGTGCTGCACACGCGCTGTGTTTTTGCCTTTGGCTTCTAAAGAGCTTAACAGAACTAAGCATGCGTTTACTGCTCGGGTTTGGCCTCCATTGTACTCTTACAGAATACATGTTGGGCTACTTACTGCATTCGTCTGAGGGCATCTTCAATATTCCTCTTCTTTCATGAAGTAGTCCTTTGATTTTTATTTCATTTAAATTGCATTTTCAAAGCAAACTAACCACTTCTGATGATCAAGAGGGCCATTCCCACAACTAGAAAACAAATTCAACTTACCCTTAAGTCATCTTCCAATATGTTAGATCATGGAGGCTCATTTGAGGTTGGATTTACCAAAAAAAAAAAAAAAAAAAGAATGTGAACACACTCTACGTTAGGCTGTGGAACCATCCCATACTTACTTTTTGGTAGATTCAAGACTCCAGGCACAAACGTCTCCATCTGGATGTTTTGACTTAGTTAAATTCTAAATAAAAAATATTACAGGAAAAACAACTAAACTAAAATAAACAATAATGTCTTGTGATCCCCTTTCTTACATTTCCCCGGTGTCGGTGATTGTAAGTGAGCTCATACGTCCGGGTGTGTGCTGGAGAAGACTTACATTGACCAACTATGGCTGCTAGAGCTGTCTTGAACTTGTCTTTGGCTTCTTCCATCTCCTTCTCGTGCTGACTCCTCTCACTCATCAGCCTGCGGATGTGGCTGTTGGACGACTGGATCATGGAGTAGAAGTTGTTAGCGTTCCTGCGGTTTACTTCTCCTCGTTCCAGCCAGGTCAAGAGCACACGCACTGCTTCGGGAAATTTGCCGTCGTCTGGCAAAAAACAGAGGAGAGAAAAATAAAAAGGCTGTTTGGATTGCTGGCTGTAATGCACATAACACACAGGCTTGCAGTTTAAAGCAGGACAATACCTGTCCCCCCCCCCCCCCCCCCCCCCCCCCCCCCCAGCTCGGCTGTGTGACTGCACTAACCTGTCCTGTGTGACCCTCACCATGTAACCCTCATGTCTATGCTGTCTCTGGAGGAGCAGATAGGAAACAAGATCTCCTGTAACTTAAAATGAACCAAAGCTTCCTCCCAGTTTCTCTTTAAGCTGAATTTAACATCAGTTTATCTTCATGAAACAAAAGAATAAAGTGGAACAAGAACTTCTATCTTCTATTTCTCACTCCTTTTAACTTCTCCGTGTCCCTAAATAAAAGAGACAGATTATTACGCTGCAGCCGCCATCACTCACCCCGCTCTCTCCCCAAGACCAGACCTCCCGACATCACAGCACTCATCTGACTGAGCGCTTCGAGGAGAAATAACAATGAAATTATGAAAATAATAACGCGTGTTTGGGGGAGCGTCCTCCAATCCTCTCTCTCTCTCTCTTTCAGTCGCTGATCGAGCGAGCGGAGCGCGCCGCGAGACAACACGCTCACTTAACATAATTCACGGCCCAAATCCAACAGAACCGATCGGGCTGATTGGGTTTGGGTTCGGTCTCAGGTTACAACTCCAGCGCTCAGCCCTGCAGTACCACATAAAGGTGGACCAAAGTTTCCTACCCGGTAAATGTGGAGGACACCCTCTCTGACAGATGTGGATGCTGCGCTGGTGCCGCCGTTAAAATAACAAAACCACATTCCACTATAATTGATTATGGTACTCTTCTATGATGCAGAATCTTTTATTTCTGCATCTCAAGCATTGATTATTTTATTATTTTTCTCAGCTTTATCTATCATACACCTCCCGGTCGGCCGTCGGGGGTGGGGGGTGCGCACGGGGTTCAGGGGCCACAAAGAGAGGGCTCGCGGGCCTTGTCCGGCCCGCGGGCCGCCATTTGCGGGGATGGTATGGGGCACTGGGTGGCTGACCCTGCCCCTCCCTGGATGACCACTTACCAGACCAAAGACTGCTACAATAATGGCCTATGCAATTTTATTACTTCCTTCTTATCTCATTTGATATTTATAGCCTAGTCATTCTTGCTCTATGATGATGATGGAACGGCTAAATAGGGGAATAAGAACAGTAGTAATTGTTAATGTGATTATTCAGCTTTAATTATTATTGTTATGATTATATTGTTATCATGGAAAATCTACGTTTTGGAGCTTTTTACTTTGTGATATTGTTATTTCCTCATAACAAAATTCCAAATCCATTTTTGGCTGCATTCATGCATTTTCCTGCTCCAGCTGCAAATTTAGAGTAAAGCGTCAATGGAAACTAGTCTCGTCACCAGGTCCTGGTCTTCTCCTGGAAGCTAGTCTCTGGTCTGAAACCTGCCCCCCCATGGCCAGCACATTATATGTGGATTAGGCAACAAATATCATGGGACAAACTTGGCAGTCCAGTGGTTAGAGCTCTGGGCTGGCATGGCAAGTCTGAGCAGTAACCTTTTTTTCTTCTTTTTTAGCTGCTCTTGCCAGTATTGTTTTCAACCCTTTATTGGTAAGCTGTTTAAATTATAAGGACTAATCTGATTTGTTTTTACTTCCTTTGTTTATTTAGCCAGTGTGAGTTTATGTGAGGTGAGCAGAGTAAGTAAACTAAAATGCTGCTTGGAAATGACCAAATTCAAACAAATATTTTGCAGAAAATGACATTTCAATAGTGCCAACGGTGATTTTTTTTTTATCATTTACTGTGAATACCTTTGCTCTCAAAGGTTTAAAATAGCATGATATGGGACCTTTAAATCATTGTTTTCTCTCTCCCACTTTTGTTCATTTACTTCACTTAATCTGTTATTCCTATATTATCCTATTTTCCTATATATAGACGCTGAATACTCACCAGCACAGCACAGCACAAGAGCCACGTTTAAAAACAGTGTTAGACCTTCCCAGTAGTGAAAGTACTGTCCCCCACCCTCTCTCTCATCTGCTTTCTCTCTGTTTCCACCTTTGATGATGATTTATTGTATTTGTGCACCCATTTCACTATGTATAAAACAATTCGGGGGAAAAAAGGATTGACCAAATTGGGTTATTCTTTGGCTGATATCTATGTCGTTAGATGATGGCTGCTATGTGCTACCCCTTTTCATGGCTGATTTCTAGATGTTTTCTGCTTTATTTACGGTCTAAAATGTCACTCATAACAGTAGATGAACATTTTTAAACCTAATCTGAATTTAACCAACAGTTAATCTTCATTTTGTGCACTGCTCAGTTTCATTTAACCAAAAGTAAACAAACAAATCAAACTGACCCAGTATTAAAAATAGAGCAGATTAATAAGAAGAAGCCAGCAGACACTAATGTTAAAGCATCTAAGGCAGCAAGCCAGTTTTCCCCTTTCAGGTATCAAGTTTGATTTTTAAAGAAATCTGTAAAAGTGATAGCCTTAACCTGTACTTTGATATAATGTTGGCAATATGTAGATATATTTTTGGTAAGCCTGCCCTTCATCCCGTAGAGCCCCACGCAATTTGATTTGAACGCCGTTCAGCATTAGCCAATGGCATCAAGCATCTGCTTATGAACAGATGCCAGTTACAGAGCATGCACAAGCGTTTGCAGATATACCTCCTAACACTGACGCAGTGTTGGCAAAAAAAGTAAGTCTTTAAAATATATATATTTATATACATACGAATAGGCATCACAAGAAGATAATCATAATTGTAAAACCAAGGGTTTTAGCTCTGTTGCCTGGCTAGAGGTGCAATTTCATGAACGAGAGGCACTGCTTCCAGACGTAATTACGGAAGTAGGGAGAGGAGTTAAAGGTGCGATATATTTTTTTGCCTCTAGACGGAGCCTTCTTGCAAAATAACTCAGGTTTTCAGCCTGAAGCAGATGTCTTCAGGAATATGAGTACACATTTATATAAAACTTGGCACCAGCATTGGGAGGCCTGCAGACGTGGCCGACTTTAACCCACATTAGGCTGATGCATCGGCCCAATGCAACATGGTTTTGACCGTTTGCGCAATCAGTGTCATTCAAACAGATTCTGAAAGCTGAGAATCTGCACTTTCCAGTGTTATGCTGTACATGACATTTACACGTAATAATATTAGTAAAGATTTTTATGTTTTAGCTGTATTTGTTCAGGTTTTTTCAGCTGTGTTCAGCAGAGGATTTGTCATATATTAGATCTGTACAAAACAAATCACTTCCTGGATAGGAATAAGGCCTATTAGCTATATCAACCAATGCCAGTATATTTAAAAAAAAAGGTAAATATTGGCCCGATATATCGACTGATCGATCCCTGCATAAACTGTTCTTGAACAAAGAGTCTAACTTTCTTTTATTCACTGACTAGACGGTTAGATAAGCTCATTTATTTTATTCAGTGAAAAATGAGAAGAAAGGGAGAAAAGTGAGGAATTGACTCATATAATGAAAGATTGCCTAAACAGAAAGGAAAAGTCTGAATTAAAAAATGACATCTGTCACAGTAAATTTAACAAAAATAAAATTATGGGCAATGATGACAGCTGGAGGGCCACAACCCCCCTCCATAAAACCTGTTTATACTGTAGGTGGTCTGTCATCAGTGTGTAAATTAGTTTGGAGACGAGCAACACAACTGGCAGTGAAAACAGCGAGATCCGATCCCCTCTGGGTAAACATCTGAGAAAAAACAACGCCAAATCTGCAGCAAATAGCTGAGGTGATCACAACAGCAGCCCAAAGGCATCAGAAACAATTTCTTGGCTAAATCATCTCAGTGTTTGGGTTGGTTTTACCGAGGCCTGGGAGGGGGGAGCTGAAAAAGACGCACGCAGATGGTGGAGAGGCAGAAAGTCACAGCCATGTTGTTATCAGGAAACTGTGACTGAGACCTGGAAGTGCCACTGCTCATTAGTGGAACAAGTTTATTCAGCCAGAAACACGACAGAAAGCTGCAAAGAGGGAGGAGAGCTAAGGAGAGGAAATGGAAAAAGGGAAGAGCAGAGAGGAGGGAAGGCGAGATGAGTGAGTGCTGAGGATCTAGTGTGTTTAACAGCCTCTGTGGGCAGTATGTCTGTTAGTAACCATGTCTTCAGCAGAGTTACAGGCTGGTGTACAGGAGTGTTCCTGTGATGTCTGGGCGCCACTTGTTTCCCCACAACAATCACGCCCATTTAAAAGGCACTTCCTTTATTCCACACCTCACTGGTTTATGGCGCACATGAATAAAGAGAATTGTCTGTGTGATGAAGGAAAATTCTCTCCTTTTATCTTTCTAAGCCCTGTTTTCTTTCTGTTTGTTATCCAACATTTGACCGCACTGGTTGCCACCCTCCAGGTCTACCTTTGATCTTGTCTCCCAGCTGGCTGCACTCGTGCTCAGAATAATGCACGATTGGAGGAGGCGATGGTGGCCGGAGGCGATCCTCCTCCATCTTGCGCCGGTGCCGCTCCTCTCTGGCCAACATTCTCTGGCGACACTCCCACTCGTACAGGTCGTCTCGGGCCTGGGCAAAGTCCACATGGAGCCGACCCGTGTCCTTCTTGTCTGTGCTGGAACCCAAACGGATCCGATAACCTGGGGAAAGAACGCAAATCATGCTTTTACCTTTGAAAACAAAGAAATAGGTGGAAGAGGAAATTAAGCAAGAGACTTAAGTGGGAAACTCATTTAATCAATACAATTGCAGTGGTATCTGTTAGGAATGAATGCCATGTAAGCCGAACTCTGGGCAAAAAAAGCCCAGAAATGTTGAACCGGCAGGGACAAGTCTGCCCCCATCAGAAGAGAGCTTCAGGATCTGGAGTCTTATTCCCTGATATCTGGACATCTCTCCTCAGATTGGCTAACAGCAATGTGACTCTACCACTAACTCTGTTTGCTCTGCGATGTTTTATCTCCACAAATAACACAAGCCTGGAGGTGCTTCCACTGTGCGGTGGAGTAGCTAATGCTAATGGTTAGCTTCTGCTAGCCGAGACGTTCTCTGCTGATTTTGGACACTAAACCAACGACAGCCTTCCCCGTGGTGAGCCAGTATGGGTGCATCCAAGCGACTGCTCAACATAGATCTGTCAGGCTTTTCAAATCCTAGAGTTTCACCGTCTATTTTCTATCAGAAGCTGATGCAGGAGATGGGTGTAGGAGACTATTTTCATGTTCAGTCTGCAAGGAAAACTCAGAGTGACAGATTATAATCAGAAATAATCATTAAAAAACGAGTTTTCACTGTTCCACACCTTTAACATAACAGTTGGAGTTTTCTAAAAACACAAAATTGAGGATCTCTGTTGTAACTTAATCTTCTCTTTTGCCAATTTTTTAATTCATAAGCACAAAATGTTAAAATCATCCTGTTTCTAATTTATTCCTAACTGTATTAAATGCATATTTAAAATAACTGAAATGTGTTATAACTTGCAGACCTGTACTGAATTTCCAACAAATGTGAATTCACTTTTACCTTAAAAATATCTGTGCCCGCAGTGCAAGATGTATTATTATTCTCTCTTTATCTTTATTTTTCCTCTTTCATTGATAGTATTGCCCGGTTGGTTCTTTTTACCTTGTTTCTATTCAACAGGCTCCTCTTACACTCACCCTTGAAGTTGCCAAGTTGCTTGTTTGTTTATGCATTCTTAAATAAAGAAAAACAAGAAAACTCAAGATTAACAGTGAAAGTAGCTAGATTCATTGTGACTCATTTACTTCAAGTTCTGAAACATTCATGTTCACTAAATTTACCTGAAAAGAGTTTAAATAATTCTGCTGCAGCCAGAGAACAGCGGTGATATTGTGGTGTAGTTGTGTTGTCATTGAGTTACACATCATATTTACATCCGTTTCTCTGTAGTTTATACTAGAAACACATGTAACCTCCACTGCCTAGTCTGCCCATTTATAACCGGCTCTGTTGCCTTCCTTTTGGAGGGTCCTTGAGCAGCCCTACTGTAACTTTGTTTTCATGCAGCTCAGAAGTCTTGCATCATTTGTCAATACATGAGAGAGAGACTTAGAGAGGCCAATTACTTCTGCAGTGTTTGAGAAAGATCACAACATTCTGCATTAACCCCTCTTCTCCTCGCCGCTTCCCTCTTATCTCCGCTCCATCCTCCTTGCTCCATTTTCACTAATGGCTGGTTGTGGACTGAAGTGAAATCTTGCCCCATTATGCAATTAGTTGGCTGAAATGATCAGGGTGTGTGTGTGTGTGTGTGTGTCCAGTGTGTGTGCTTGATATGGATCAAGAGAAGGAGGGGTGGGCAGTGGAGGATGCCAACACAAACAGAAAAAGAAATGAACGCAAAGTCAGGAGTTTCTACTTCAGTCTGCTCCCGCTGCTTCAGGCCCTTAATCTACCACCTCTTCAATATTTCATATGAGGAGATGTTGGTGTGCTGGAGCTGCCCGAGTGTGTGTCAGTGCTGTTTGCACAGCCACTCTGTGTGTGTGTGTGTGTGTGTGTGGGTGGAGTATTATTTATGGGGAAACTACACAGCTCTGTCATCACTCTAATATATGGACCTCTGCTCCCACATCTCACTGTAAGAATAGAGGCAGTCCAAATCAAATGATCTCTCATTCAAACCGACTCTCTCACATGGATTTGCACACGTATGAATGCACAGTAATGCCAGGGATGCTTCTGAAATGGCTACGTACCCAAGTGGGTTTGTTGGAGTGGGAATGAGCATCCGTTTGCACAGAAAGAGATGGAGGATGCCTGCAGTTTATAAGCTGAAAATGAAGATTAGGCAAGAGAGCACAAGCTGCATCCCGATGTTTTTCTAACCCACTGTTTGTTTATTTTTTTCATTAGTTTCAGCTTCTATTGAGTTGAAAATGAGCTCTGAATTTAATCACTATTACCACCTTTTAGTGTCCTGAATTACAAACAGTTGAGTTTAATAGATGGAGGATTTGAAGACACATTGTCTTCTCTCTTATTTCCATTTCAAAATGTTCTTAGGCATGAAAACACTCTGCATAATTTAAGATTTGTTTCTGTATAGTGACCATCAGGTTTAAGCATTTCAACTTTGTTCTTGAGAAAACATCTCCTCTGTACACGCCTGGCATAGAAAGCATGGCTCTTAATAATGCAACACCTATGAGAAACCTGGTCGACAACTCAGATAAAAGCACAAAAACTCAGAAAAAGATTAAAAATACAACTTTTTGATGTTCTGATTAACCATTTATTTGACTATAACAACTGATCTAATCTAAGCATATTAAAATAAATGAAAACAGCTCAACAATATGGAACTGTTGGAAATCTTTTGACCCTACAGGTGACCCTTTATAGCTTCAAATGAATAAAAATGCTAAGAGGAAAATGTCTCTGGCGATTAAAGTACTGATCTCTTAACACTTTCATTTTTATAAACTGGTAGATTTTCAGTCAAGCTGAAGCCTTGAAACACCCAACAGTGAGGGACAAGAAAACTATGTATGAGTCGACTTTTCAACCATCCAAGTGGAATGACTCCCAAACACTGATTTTGTCAGCACTTAATGAATGAGATCCAAAATGATGTACTAGTTGTGAAATCTCACCAGACAGGAAGAGAGCTTTGTCCACTGTGGGCTCCTCAGCAAACCTGATGTGGCAGAAGTTTTTCTTGCTTTTGCGAATAGCTGTGATATCACCACACTGTCCAAAGACCTCCATGATCAGCTGCTCGGTGGCGTTTTCCGGCAGACCACCAACAAACACCGTCTTACACCCTGGGGGGCGCTCTCTCGTGGCTGGAGGGGGAAGGTCTGTTCAGAGGTGGTAGACAGAAAAAAAATCAAGTTACTGAATGGGTGAAACTTCTTTTATTAGAGGTGTGTATTGACCAGAATCTGTCGATATGATACATTTATCACGATACAGGACAGATGATATGATGTTTACTGTGATACTAAAGGTCAGATGAGATTTGCAATTTTTAGGACTCAGATCAGACACTTCCAAGACAAATCCAGTGTCATTGCGAGTTTTTGTTCTGTCAGAATAAAGATGGCAAAAAACCACTGCCACCTAGCAGTCCGAGTTTTAATTGCAAAAAAAGATACAGCTAATGTTTGCATGTAAATGGAAAGAAGGATATGGAGATTATTGCTCCAGAGGAATGAAGACAAAGACCCGGGTTAGAAATCTTGAGTCATAACTGATTCAGACCTCAGCTTCACTGGAAAACACAGACTTTTAGAAATTTCTGCAGATTTATTAAAAATGACAAACTGAAATATGACATGGTCCTAAGTATTCAGACCCTTTGATGTGGCACTCATATATTTAACTCAGGTGCTTTCTATTCTGATCATCCTTGAGATGGTCCTACACCTTTACTGGAGTCCAGCTGTGTTTGATTATACTGATTGGACTTGATTAGAAAAGCCACACACCTGTCTATATAAGACCTTGCAGCTCACAATTCATGCCAGAGCAAATGAGAATCATGAGGTCAAAGGAACTGCCTAAAGAGCTCAGAGACAGAATTGTGGTGAGGCACAGATCTGGCCATGGTTACAAAAATATCTCTGCTGCACTTAAGGTTCTTCAGAGCACAGTAGCCTGCATAATCCTTACATGGAAGACGTTTGGGTTGACTCTTCCTAGAACAGGTTATTTGGCCAAACTGAGCTACCAGGGAAGAAGAGCCTTGGTGAAAGAGGCAAAGAAAAACCCAAAGATCACTGTGGCTGAGCTCCAGAGATGCAGTCAGGAGAAGGGAGAAAGTTGTAGAAAGACAACCATCACTGCAGTCCTTCACCAGTCAGGGCTTTATGGCAGAGTGGCCCGTTGGAAGCCTTTCCTCACTGCAAGACACACGAAAGCCCGCATGGAGTTTCTCAATTGCATTTATACACTAGCATCAGCTCCATTCTGCCTGGACCGGGATGGGAGTCGTCTCATTTAGGTAGTCTTGGATTTTCCCACGTGCAACCGGATGTCTCTTCAGCCCTCTTCCCGAGGCGGTCTGCTTGGAGTCGAACAGAGCCGACACAACCAATGCCGGTTGATTGGCTGGCTCAAAATCACACATACCATTAAGCTTGGGGCACACTGGAGACAGATGTGTACGCGCCGCAAAAGCACCACGCCGCAAAAGCACCACGCCTCAAAAGCACCACGCCTCAAAATCACCACGCCGCAAAAGCACCACGCCTCAAAAGCACCACGCCTCAAAATCACCACGCCTCAAAATCACCACGCCTCAAAAGCACCATGCCTCAAAATCACCGCGCCTCAAAAGCACCACGCCGCAAAAGCACCACGCCACAAAAGCACCACGCCTCAAAAGCACCACGCCTCAAAAGCACCACGCCTCAAAAGCACCGCGCCTCAAAATCACCACGCCTCAAAAGCACCATGCCTCAAAATCACCGCGCCTCAAAAGCACCATGCCTCAAAATCACCGCACCTCAAAAGCACCACGCCTCAAAATCACCACGCCTCAAAAGCACCATGCCTCAAAATCACCGCGCCTCAAAATCACCGCGCCTCAAAAGCACCACACCTCAAAAGCACCGTGCCTCAAAAGCACCATGCCTCAAAATCAACGCGCCTCAAAATCAATGCGCCTCAAAAGCACAGAGGTTTTGAGAAGTCAAATGGTCACACAGAATGCGGCACGCCACTGAGCTCTTCTTGGAAAGTCGCACGATAGTCACAACATCACGCTGGACTTGAAAACAGGAAGCGGAAAGTGACTCTTTTTGTTTTTACGTGATCAGACTTGCCGTCAATCCATTACAAATGGGTAAGTGCACTATTTATTAGAATATTTTAAGATCAATAGTACTTTAAAGTTATCAATACTGTGGTTGGGTTTGTGCCGTAAAGCCGTTCCGCATCATAATGTCTGTTGTAAAGTTCTCCACAATGCTATAAACAGCTGCTGCACTTATCTGAAGTGCCTCGCCTTGGCGCTTCTGGGATGTGGCGCTGCACTCCCAGTGTAACCAGTCACACTAACTATTATGGCGTCTATTTAAAATGACTGTGCAGGCACGGCACAGCGCGTTTGTCTCCGGTGTGCCCTGTGCTGTCATTTTAAATTGACGATATTATAGTTAGTGAGAGTGGCTACGGGGAGAGCAGCTCCGTGTCCCAGAAGTGCCGCGCTGAAGGTAGGAGCCGCAGCTGTTTACAGCATTGTGGAGTACTTTACAACAGACATTACGACCCTAAGTACACAGCTAAAATAACAAAGGAGTGGCTTCGTGGCAACTCTGTGATAAACAGAGCCCTGGCTTAAACCCAACTGAGTGGGAATGACAAAGGATCCCCAAATCCAGGTGTAAGACACTTGTTGCATCTTTACCAAGAAGACTCATGGCTGTATTAGCTCAAAAGGGTGCTTCTACTAAATACTGAGCAAAGGGTCTGAATGCTTAGGACCATGTGATATTTCAGTTTGTCTTTATTAATAAATCTGCAGAAATTTCTATAATTCTGTGTTTTCTGTCAATATGGGCTGTTGTGTGTACAGTAATGAGGAAAAAAAAAGAATTAAATTGATTTTAGCAAATGGCTGCAATATAACAAAAGTGAAAACTTGATGGGGTCTGAATACTTTCCGTACCCACTGTAAGCCCAGCAAGGCTCTGAGATCCATATAAAACAGTCAGCTGGTAGAACCGAGGATCAGAACCAAACAGGCTTAAGCTACTTTTGGCTGCACACAGGTCAGGAGGAACCAGCTTCCTTATGATCCAAATGTGCCCCAATTTACCTTTAAATCAAAATGAAAACTTTCATGTATTCATCAGCCTTTGAATGACTGTTGAACTGCCTTTGTGTATGACATATGCTATACAGATAAAGCTGTCTGCCTTAATTCTCAATAAAAACTTTGATACAATGCTTTTAAACATCAATTTAGTCACATAAGACAAATATTGTAATATTTTTTACATCCACAACATAAATCCAAATATGTTATGTGAGTTTATAGCTATATGGCTGCTAGGAGGCTCACACTAGGAGAGAGGACTCAACAAGTGGTTATGATGACAGAAAGTCATGTAGGCTCATTTTTCCACCTCCAGACAAGCTATGGGCACACATTAAACTACAATACATGCTTTTAAACGCCAAGGAAAGCTGAAACTGTCAGATTTAAACCCCACAAAAAAGAATCATCACATCACTGTGCTGCCTCATAGGTAAAAACATAAAACAGAGGGGGGAATAAAGCCAAAGAATGCGATTTTGTGTATTATGTGAAATTTATGAAGAGATAATAAAACTGAAATAAACAAACTCAGACAAAAATCCACCTTTTTGTGAGCTGAATTTATTCTGCGTATAAGTCTGCTCTCTGACAGGCTGAAAACGGTATTGTAACAAATATTTTTATCACATATTTTAGATTTGGTTGAAATTTCCCCCTTGTTTTACTAAAGATGACACACTTTATTTGCAAAATACCCCAAGAAAATCCAGAGTATTAATCTAAAGGTTAAAACTATTAAGAAAATAGTTCAGTCTAGATTTGTGTGTCTCGTACAAAGCACCACATTTATCAGTGAAACAACATAAAGGGTATGACAGAACGGCATTCTGTAAGGAGTGAGGAAGACAAAAGAGACACATGTGGATATAAATAACATTAGAGTTAAGAATGGGACTACTAAAGGGCCTCATTAAAACATTTGAAGTACAAGAAGACAAGTCTCTGCCGGCTTTCAGAAACGGGAAACAATCTGCAGCTCCTACAAATTCAATTAAGATCCGTTTAAAACAGCACTTGTGACCTAAAAACGCTAAAGCTCAAAGCATGGATAACTTGGAGCGATATGTTCAGATCACTTTTTGTTAAATAAATGCTAAAATCAAACCATTCCAGGCATGAAAATGAAATCTTTTTGGCTACAATGTGATTGCAAATCCTCTCATGTGGAAGCTTCCATGCACTGCAGAAATCACTTATTCAACACAGATGAGTGTTGACTGATCTAATCTCCAATAGATCAGGCTCCTCATCCATGATGAATGTGATTAGTGGGGTCTATGAGGAGTGAACCGAATAATTACTGGAACGCTGAGGATGCTGTATTTCTAGATATGTGCTGGAAAAGGCCCCGTGTGCACCGTCGCCACTGCCGTTCCAGGAGATACGAGAGCTCTGAGGAGAGCTGGGCTGATCTTGGCTCGACGCCTCACGAGCAGCACAAGAGCTGAGGGGACTGGTTCCGATTTATTTCAGATTATTTGTTTAAATGTGATCAAAATGATTTAACAACAGAGCATGGCTTATTTCTGCCAACAGCAAATCCAGAAATGTTCCCACCTTTTGTTCAAGAGGAAGGCAAAGATGAAGCAGGTGGAATATCTTTATAGGAAAAACCACTAATCCAGCTCCTCACGCTCAGCACCCAGGATTGGAAAAGGGTTTAGATAAAGAGTGAACAAAAAGTTCAAAACATCTCACAGAAATTATCCATCATTTACCACAATGTTTTACTTTATTTAAAGTATTTTTAAATGTTTTTCACAGGTTTGATTATCTTTTTAAACATTTCAGGGCTGCTTATCCAACTACTTTAACCTCAAATAAAGAGACCGACTGATTGCTTCTTGTTCAGTACAGCCTCCATCTGTAGCTAAAGATCCAAGTACCAGCAGGGAGAATCAAAACAACCTGAAGGAGTTTCTCAGCAGGGTGGTGGATTCGATTCTGCAAAACAAAGTAAAAAGCTCGACTAGGAAAGATGTAAGGAATAAGCTGGCGTGGCGGGTGCCTGGCTCCTTACTGAACTAATTCAGA